GGAGAAGGCTCCGGGCTGGGCCTAGATTGTGAGAAAAGCAGTTTGCTGTAGGAAAAGATGGCGTTTGCTTCAGCCCGGTCTATTACAAAACACACATCTGCTAAAGCCATTTTTCTAGGCGGTTTTCTAGGGAAACTTGACATACAAGCAAGACTAGGACGTTGAGCTGCCTTCAAGTTAGTTTGTATGGATCTCCATTGCACATCGTTTTTTACCTGCTGTCATGTTTTGGTGGGTTTTTAGCGTGGGTATGTCGGCTCCTGTAGATGGAGAAATCCTTTAACTTTGTTAATGCTAATACAGAGTCATCAGTAGCTGATTCAGATCTGGCCCTGTGATGTGTAAACTTCCTTGTGGACTTAAACTATTGCAGCTTTGTGTTTTTTTGTTTTTTTTTTTTTTCTTTTTTTTACAGATTTAGGTGTAAAAAATGGTTCAGCGCCTGACCTACCGCCGTAGGTTATCCTACAACACAGCTTCCAACAAGACCAGACTGTAAGTAAGACCTAGTTTAAAGAAGGCTTGAAGAAAACTAAATTTTGATTGTTCTAATGACCAGATATTTTTTTTTTTATGCCATGCTTAGATCCCGAACACCCGGGAACAGGATTGTTTACCTTTACACCAAGAAAGTGGGGAAGGCACCAAAGTCAGCATGTGGTATATGCCCAGGAAGGCTTCGTGGTGTAAGTTATCTTACTGCCATAAAACATTCTTATTTACAGCCATCTCTTCTCAATGCAAAGCTTTTTCAAGTATTATAACATGCCTGTTTATTCATGAATTCTCGTTGGAACTACTTGCTGCTTTAAAATATTTTGATTTGAATATTTTAACGTTTTAACTGGTAAAATAAGCTTTGAAATATTAAGTAGTAAGTTCTCTTCTAACGCTTGTGGTTCTCATTACTGTTGTATCTGAAGTTCTGAAAGATGTGACTGGCTGAAATTTTTGGAGGTAGATTGAGGTGATTTTGTAGCAGGTTTAAAAGTCTAAATTAAACCTGATAGGTAGGCTTTGGAAAAAAACCCAGTAAGGGAAGTTTGACTTTCAGCCTTAGAAAAAAGGAAAGAATGCTTTTAACGTGATAATTTTCTCCAAAATGTTTTTTTTAGTGAAATGTCATTGCTCTTAGTAGTGATGAGAATGCTTGAGTAATGTTGATCTTAGAGCAGTTCTCACCTGAAGGAAGACAGCCTTTTTTATAAATCATTTTTTAATGAACCTATTGGTGAACTTCTGTGGTAGAATGAAAAGATCAGCATAGGAGTGCTGATGGTGGGATGTGCAGCAAGCATTCACTTCAGTTGCTTTTTTTTTTTTTTTCATCTTGAGTCATAGAATGGCTTTGAATGGAAGGAACCCTGGGGATCACCTAATCCAACCTCCCTGCCATGGGCCTCTCAACTAGACTAGGTTGCTCCAGGCCTCATCCAACCTGGCCTTGAACACGTCCAGGGAGGGGGCACCCACAACCTCTCTGGGCAATGTATTCCAGTGTTTTGCCACCCTCATACTGGAGAACTTCTTCCTAAGATCTAGTCTAAACCTACTTTCTTTCAGTTTAAAACCATTTCCCCTTGTCCTGTTGCTGGGTGCTCTTGTGAAAGGTCCCTCTCAGCCGTCCTGTAGGTTCTCTTCAGGTATTGGAATGCAGTTCTGAGGTCCTCCCCCCACCCAAGTCTTCTGCAGGCTGAAGGATCCCAGTGCCCTCAGCCTGTCCTCATAGCAGAGATGCTCCACTCCCCTGGATCACCTTTGTGGCCCTCCTCTGGACTCGTTCCAGCAGGTTTATGTCCCTTTTCTGGAACAGTCAACTTCAGGTGTTGCTGCTTTTTTTAAATTGACTTTCCTTTATCTGGCTGTTGTCCAAAATAAGCTTTATGACACACTTCTCATTTTATTTTCCATAGGTTCGTGCTGTGCGTCCTAAAGTTCTTATGAGGCTGTCGAAAACAAAGAAGCACGTGAGCAGAGCCTATGGTGGCTCCATGTGTGCTAAGTGTGTCCGTGACAGGTAACCTTGCAGAACGTTCACTTCATTCTCGAGGGTGCTTCATGTGAGATTTTTACATCTCGCTGCTTTCTCCATGTGAACCAAAGCTCTGAAGATTTTTGTCTGACGCTGGTGTAGTAAAATGGGGAGGGTAAGCGTGGGGGCATGTTAGGCTCTGATGCCTGTGGCTTTTTTGTCCCTTGTATTTGAGCTGATTACTGCATGTGGAGCTCCTTTGTAGAGCGTTTGCTCTCCGTGATTTCTTGCTGCACTGTTACCTTGGTGCTAAACAGTCTGCTCAGTTAGGATTTTTATTGCTTCTGTTGAGGCCTCATAGTAAAGATTTTTGTTGTTGTCCCATTTTGTCTTATGCAAAGAAGCCAACGTTAAGATCACTTGAGCTTTTGGCTTCTTTGTGATGTTTTGGGTTTCAGAGATAGCAGTCGGTGGCATACTGAGCACCTTTATGTGGTTAAACTTTAAGATGGCCTCGCCAAGTTAATTCTTACTGTGTAGCAACATCCTTGGCAAGTTTAAGTAAAAGTATTACAAAGAGAATGTCATCTCTGAATGGTGATCAAAGCAGATCTCGAGTCAGCAGTCTAATGCTAGTTTTTTTTTTAATCTGTAGTGTAAATCTTGCCAGTTTTTTCTTTTTGCATGTGTGAGTTTTAAGTTAAATTGCATTAGGTGCCACTGCAGATGAGTTGTCATAGCTGCAGATCTGTAACGTAACTTTTCCGTCTTAAAAGACGGGTTTTCTGAGTGTGTCCCAAACACCTTATGATGTTGGTAGGTTGGTTTTGGGTGAACAAAAACCACCTACTTCTTGAGACTGCCTTATTCTGCCTTAACCAAGGAGTCACCTGCTTCCCTCTGATCAGCAGGTTTTCTCCTGCATCTGCTTAGGCTTCCTTGGTAGGTTTTGTGTGGTGCAGAAGTAGCCATGTGCCCCACACGTGTAGAATGGCGTTGTAGTGTGTCAGGGTGGAAGGGCGTGCGTGGTCTGTTTGTGCTTTTAATGCCTTGATGTGTGAGTAATACTGCAGAGGTCCATCTGCATGGAGGCCCTGCCTGTCTTCCAGAAGTAATTGTGTGTGGGCATGACTTGACCTGCCAGGGTTTTCCCTGTTTGTGTTGAAAGGAGCTTTAGTCCTGAGAGGGGAACCATTTTTGTGTTGGTAACTACAGAAAACTTTTTACTCCAGTTACGGAAGAGGGCTCACCATGACTGGTCACACCTATTCTGACTTGAAGAACAGCTAAGTTAGTTTGTTAGTGAGTTTTGCTTTTTGGCTTTGAAGTTAGTGAAGGTGATGCTTTTTCCAGTGTTCAGCCATCAGGTGTTATCCTGGTTACCTACAAGCCACTTGCCCTAAATTTGCAGGTACACTTGGCCTTTTCCCCCAGACCACTACGTTCATACCACGCCTCTGTCCCTATCTTTTGATAAGAATGCTGATGGTTTCCCTTCTTATGTACTGCACTATCACCACATGTACAATGTTGGAGATAACAAAACTAATTGTAATTTTGTCTTTGTGTTTTCACATAAGTAGCTATATGCCCTAAAGTTGTTGTTTTTCCTTTCCAGAATCAAACGAGCTTTTCTTATTGAGGAGCAGAAGATTGTTGTGAAAGTGTTGAAGGCACAAGCACAGAGCCAGAAGTCAAAGTGAATCTATTTGTAGTTTCAGCCCAATAAATGAAAGCTCCACTTTTCTTGTGTCCTGTCATTCCATGTGTTAGTCAAAGCTGGTAGGAGCTGCTTCTGACAGCTTCTATAATGCAGAACTGGCTTTTGGGCCAACAGACTCTGTTACAGTCAGGATACTGTGTTCCGTACTGTCTGCAGACAGGGAAATTGAGCAGGTGCAAGTAGGTCTGGTGCAACAGGACTCTGAGCTCTGCCTTAATACAAACCCTCTCCAGGATTGCAACTTTGAGCACTGCAGGGTTTGGTGTGGGTTTTTTTGGGTTTTTTGTTTGTTTTTTTTTTCCATGGGAACTGCTGTGTGTGAGGTCATCAGAGGACTTGGCTTGGAAGAGAGTTAGGAATCTGAAAAAGAAAAGCAAAAGAAGATGAAGACTATGGAAGAGAGATTGTCAGATGAAGAGGAGGAGAGCTAATATAGGCATAAAGTACTTTTTTTTTTTTTTTAACATGCTATACTATAGTTGCTCGAGTCTGAGGAATAGTCAGACTTCTTGGAGTGAGTGCTGTATCCACCAAACAGTTGTATACTGCTACATCTGAATCTCCTGGAAGACACCTGTGGCTGCTGTATTGTGTTTATTGGGTGCTTCCTGGGTCAGCAGTTCTGCTGCTGTAATGCTGAGGATGTAAAAAAGCGGTTGTAAATGGGTGGAAGTGGGCTCATTTTGCTGCTTTACTTCATTCTGTTGGAATAAGAAAGAAGGAGAAATAATGACTGAGTGTGCACTAACTGGGAGCACTGAGGATGCCATTTGAAGAGGTATTCTGTCTGTATTTTCAAGATGGATGAATGTTGCAGCTAACTGATAGTTTGAAGTGTGAAGCGTTTCTTTGCAGCTGAAGTTATGCTAAAATTTGTTCCAAGGGCTGTTGCCAAAGGAGGTTCTAAGACTTAACAGTACCCTGACATTTTTAGGTGCTGTTACTATAGTTAGTTTAGAAGGTTAAAATTTTATTAGTTGTTGCCTTCCTGTGCTAGTCCAAACTTCAGAAATGGTTTTAAAGCAGAAGCAGCAAGTAGGGCAGATGCATCTAAGACCCCTGAAGTGCTCATTTTACATTAAAATGTGAGAGTATTTTTCATTGGGCCTTCTGGAAAGGGGACAAGATGGAGAGAGAAAACTTGTGCTGTCATTAGGAGACATGTCATACATATCTGTTGACAGGTAAACCACATTGACAGGGAGATTTTTCCAAATGGGGGCTAAAGCTGGAAATGGTTAAATAAAAATTACTGCACTGAAAGGGAACAGAGTTATGCACTGGGAGAAGTGGTATCACCACTGTAGGCAGAAATGAAAGCCGTCCTTGGACAAAGTGTCAGTGACATTGGTAGTTAAGGCCCTTAAGTTTTTTCTAAACGGTAGTTCTCTGAGCATAAGGCTGCAGTGTAGGAATGGGAGCAGTTTGGGACACGAAACCCCTCGGGGCTGCTGGTGCCCCTGCGCAGTGGGAGTGGGCTGGTGGCTCAGTGAGGGAGGAGGCAGGAGTGTGCACTCCTAAATATGCTCACGTGTGAACCTGGAGGGAGGGAGGGGGGCTCTGCTACTGAGGTGGTTTTTACTGCCTCTCTCCAGTATTAGTCTGCTGAGAGGCATCGGTCTGCCTGTGTAGGGGGCGTTTTTGGATCTGTTCTCTGCGGCTAGGGCTCCGATTCAGTGCCTGGCTGTCAGGTGCCCGTTCGGAAGAAAATGTTTCCTGTGCTGCCAGGAGTCTTGACCTCGGCTTAATGGCACAGAGAAGCCAGGAACAGCTCTGAGCAGGGCTCTGCCCCGTCCCTGTTCACGGAGCAAGAGCAACTAGACAAGCTTCCACTCGAACCCAGGAACTTTTCTCCCTTACCCGTTGCCAGAGGGGCTGCACGGACACCGGTCCCCGCTCGCTCTCGGCAGCCGTTGTGCTTTTCCTCACCCGGGTCTCCTCCCGCTGTGGGCTCGGGCGGGCACATCTCGCGCGGCGCAGGCAG